AACTGTTCCTGGACTCGAGCAGCCATATTGAGGTGCCCTCTTGTTTCCCAGAGGGAGAATAGCTTTGCAGCGGGATGACATTAATCGTTTCATTCCTTGATCGATTTAAGAAAGATGTACATACAGGAATGAATGAATAAAAGCCTGGCAGTAAAGCATTCTCTTTTTTTGAATTTGTATTTGCACATGTAAGACTTCTTTTCTTTTGGGGGGTGGGGGTGGCTGGCATTTGTTTGTTAAATAAAAATATTGAAAAGAGTCCCTGCAATTTTCTTGGGAGGATTAAAAAAAAAGGAGAAGCTTAGTTTCTGAAATCAGATAGGGTTACCTGAAAACAACTGGTCTCAGCAGAAAAGTGTTGACAACCATAATCCGACCTGACTGGATGAGACAACTCAGTTGTACATCGGAAATACCTCTTTACTTCCACTCCTTTCTTCAGTGGCTTTCTCCTTCCTCCCTTCTCCTCTGTGAACTTCCTATCATGCTATAAAAAGCTAGACTAAAGGGCCGCAGGGATACAATTAGGAAGCACCTTAAAGGCTCTCTCACCACAGACAGGCCTCTCATGACCACTGCACTGACCCCATGTTTATTAGATTGACCCCTGCCTGGACACATTAATGGAGATGGTGTGTATGTGTATGTGTATGTGTATGACTGTAAGACCAGGGGTAAGCATGGGTTCTTGGACTGAGAGTGGATTTGGGTTCAGTTGCTGGGGGTGTGTTTTGTTTGTGTGTGTAATTTGTGTGCAGGAGTATTTAAGGCAGTCCACGATCGCTCTGAGATAAGGGTCTTTGCTGCACGCTATATAGCAAGCAGACTGCAGTCATTGCCTTGGGTCAAATTTACTGGCCTAGCAATCATGGAAGTCAATAACCCAGCCCTCTTAGTGACTCTGCTACCTGTGCAGGGCTCAACATAACACCCATCCCTGGAAAACAAAGACACAGCCCTCTCACATCTCTAATCTATCATTTATATCCAATCTAAGGCCCTTTGATTTTTTTTTTCCACCTCCCTGATTTTCCTCGTCTCCTTTTTACTTCTGTTTTGTCCTTTTTTCCTCCTGCAGAACCGATCAACACTGCAGTGCCATCTCGTTCGCCCTGAACTGGAGGTGAACTCCTCCGGAAAGCCGCCAGCCTCTCCACCTATCCCATCGCAATCTGGGGTCATCAGGGGGGTGTCTCTGTGCCAATATGCAGATGAGCCTGTGCCCCTCCAGTGACTCTGGTGTTAAGCGCCACCCCTCTATATGATGGAGGCTTTGAAAACACCAGAAAACACTCACACACACCAACATAAACCCACTCTCACACGGGGCTTAAATAGGCCTCTAACAGCTTACGTCTACTCTTTCTTTAACAGCCAAAGTGTGTCAAACCTAATGGATGTTGTCAAAGCTGAGATGTGACCACTGATTTAGAGGAGGAACCCCGGTGACCAGGCTTCACTAGCCACTAAAGACACAGAGAGAGAGAGCGTGAGAGAGAATGAAAGAGGGACAGAATTACCTCAGCTCTGCCACAAATCAAAGTAAAAAGACGTGGGGATCGATGAGGTGTCATCTGGCTGCATCTAGTGTATAAAGCGAACCCATAAACAGCCAATGAGTACTACTTTAACCTCAATTTTAGCCTGTTACTGAAAAGGCTGTTCGACTGATAAGCAGATATTTTTATGGGCAATCGATCGCACGCATTGTTAAAACACAATTTAACAGACAAAGAGCTCTTCCATTTTCAATATTTTAATTAAAATGTATTTTGTATTTAATTGGTCAAACTTTGAAACTAAAGAATCTTGTGTATTTGTGTGCTTCTTTGCATTAACCATGATCAGTGCATGTTGTATGTGCTAATTTTGACATGTTTATAGTAATTCTATTAAATAAAGTTTATTAAAAATTCTATAATGTCTCATTTGCTGTAAATAGTACAATGGTGTTACAATATGCTCCATAACCCTAGGTATTGCCATGAGAAATACAGAAAAATAGCCTTTTACTTTTGCAATGTGTTTAGAATTAGCATTAAGCACTGGCAAGCTTGGCAGTGTTTATTACTTGCAGTGATGACAGCTGATGATGCTTCACTGTAATGCAGCAAAGAGCAGGAATAGAAGCAGGGTTGCAGTGAAAGCTGTGCTCTTTTGCTCAGGTTATGGCAGAGTTTCAGTTCAATGTCTAAGCCGTACCCTGTGTTTGACCAGCCTGTATGTGGTTCGTGAGCTCGGAGAGACTGCCTCATTATGTGACAGGCAGAGGAGAGGATCTGATGCCAGATATTTAGCCTTCTCCTCTCTCTCACAGACACCGAAGCCCTCTCAAAGTAACTGGCTGACTGTTTGATCTCCCTCTGACTCCACACTGCTACAAGACACACAGACAAAAACACATTTGTCAGTTGCAAGCATCTACTCATCGATGGCACACATCCATTCGCTCACATGTGTGGCACATACCCGCTGTACCCTTCTCCAAAACACCAGGCAATCCAACACACATGCCCATGCACACCCACGCCCCCACACACAGTTGTTATCATTTGTGTGCAGTGAGGTAAGGGAACAGAGGAGGAGAGTTTTGAGCTGTTAAAAAGGCAACATGGAAACTCCTCCATAGCTATGGGCCATGCTTTCTTCCCCATGCACCAAACGCTGCATGCTGTTACAAATGGTAATCGGCTCTGATTGTCACAAATTTCAAAACAAACGCTAGGTGACTGAAAAGCCAAAGTGACGCCCCGAGTGATACTCCAACAGAAAGCCCAAATCAAAGCATGCCGACTATAATTAGGTTCCATCTGGGCTACATTATTTAAAGCTGCACCAGTTAATTGCTTGTGTACAAATGACCTATTTTATTTGAATCGAACTCTTTTTTTGTGATTCATAATTACATTGATGTGAAGGGGGCCATATCTCTTTGCTTCATTTATAACATAAATACATATTCAAATTATTAAGCGGACTTTGAGGCAAGGGAAATGTAAAGTGATGGTACTTTTCTTTGTGGGAATTGAATTTCTTAAAAAAAATAAACAAAATTCTGAGTGCTTAATCAATACTGACATTTGGGTTAAACATTTAATGAGCTTCAATTAAAAAAGGATATGAACAATGATATTATCATGAAGTGAAAATTACAAAAACAAAATACCCAACAGGCCTGATACACATGATATTATTGCATGCAAAAGTAAACATTCTCTCATTTCCTCTTGTCAAGAGTTTTCATCAAAAATCTAACACAAAATGCGTTTTCTTATCGATTTCCTATCGACAGTAACCTAAGCTTTTGTTTTATCTTGATGTGAGGCATAGCGGTGTGTTGTGGTGCAGACCATGGCTGGCTGTAACCTTAGCTGGGCTGCTGTTTGTGGAAACTATCTGTTGCATAGATCAGTGGTGGGAAATCGCTATCTGTATCCTGGCTGTCAGACGATCGGATTTCCGGCCATGACACTCTGTGATATTAGATGATCTAATGTGGTGTGTGCGAGAGTATGTGCAGATACCGTACGTTTGTGTGTATTAGTTTCTACGTGATGGCTTGTCCATATGAGATGCACACAGGCCTACAGTTAGTTATGCGTGTTGTCATTTTGCTTGCCAACATGCATAAAGGTCAAGAGTGTCACTTTTGTCCCACGTAGATGTCTGTTGTTGCCGCTGTTGATGAGGTCAAAGAGAGCCCAGGCAGGTGACAGCCAGTCAGCAGCGCTGCCAGAGCAGCTCCTTCCTTTGTAACAAAATATGGAGACATTTGTCCTCAGTTAAAAACCAAATGAAATCTGAATGGTAATTATTTATTAAAAATGACTACCACTAGCAGTGCTGTTTCCAGAACTCATTACACATCCAGAGATGAGGAACTTGAATCACTAGCTACAGGGGCCACTGAGGGGACTCTGCATTTACTTAGAATAAAATACAGACATAAGAAAGACAAAGAGAAACAAAACCGAGCAGACGCCCAGAGAGAGGGGAATATCACATTAACTTGTTCAAATAATCACCCAAAGTAAGCTACTTTACATTCCATATAATGTTTCCAGGAAAAGTGAAACTTGCGACAACAAGGACTCCACACAAACGACAGTGCGGCACTGTACTTCTTTCTCCTTCAGTTCCCTCCCTTCATCTATCCTTTCCCACTCACCGCCTACCTACCCAGACAGTGAGACTGTACTGAGTGCTTTTTTTTATGTGAATGAGTGGCCTTGGCTGTCATAAAGGACCCTCGCTTTTATAGACTTGAAGCGGTGTATTTACAAGATAACCCCAGCCCAAGGACACCACAGGCTATTTGATACCAGTGACAGACTCTCCCCTCTCCTCTTCAGTGTAAATCGAAAGCCCAAACATTCTCTCACCTCTGACAGCACCTCTCAGTGTCAGTTGTTTTACTTGCCTCTAGTGAAACTGCATGAGCTGTGTGTGGCATTTTAACAAAAACATTGGCTGTACCTTTTCTCATTTACTTCTTACACTGCAATAATAATAATGACACTGAATAACACAGATGCGGACTTAACTGAACATGCATTCAAACATTGAAACTGAAGGTTCAAGTTAGCTCTGCAAATATACACATCATGTGAAAAGAAGTAACTTGTAATTTTTCTCAGTGTTGTCATGACAGATGCAAGGCCATCCAGTACAACTACACCCATACCTCCTGAAAAACAACTGTCAAGCTGTAAAAGCAGCCAATTAAATTCACATTTTAAGTGAATGAAAAAGACAATCACTATAAAACTGTACAAATCTTATTTTCCCTGTATCAAAAAGGAACTGTATTGCTCTGTTTAGTCAGAGTTTGCAACACTTTGCATAAAACACCTGATCTCTATTTCACACATGGCTATAAAGAAGGAGCAAGAAAAAAAAAACAAAAAAAAAACAAATCAGGAAAAATTCTCAATGGACATCATTACGAAATTGTATTAAATATATGACTGGTACAAATGGAGCTTGTGTAGATTACAGTCTGAGCTCATAACTAAGAAATCTATTTGATTCCACCAAGAAACATGTACTGTAATTGTGAGAGAGTAATAGAAAGAATAAAGGGTAGCTCTGGAAAATAAAACACTTCGATTATCAGATGGTCACAGCGCAAATTCTGTTATTGCTTTCCTTATTAACCTTCTGCATCTTGCTTCTAATGAGAGAGCCACACTGCACCGTTATAGTGCCAACATTCACTGGCAGCTTTTGTTTCAAAAACATACAAGATCTATGCATGTACATGTTGATTAGATGTGTGTATGTGACAGAGGGAGACACATAAAAAAAGAGCGACTGAGTGACTGAGTGTGTGTACAGACACTAGCACGAGGAGGGGGGTGGTGCCGGGGCTGCAGCCGACCCTATTGGCGGCTTGCAGGTGGTAGCATCTTGTAATCAGCAATAAAAATAAATAAATAAATTAAAAGTTAAGCACAAACAAATAAAAAGCACATTTTGTTTACATTTGGATATAGTGGCTTAAAACTGAGGAATATGGTTGAGGAAAAGTAGTTTAGAATGATTTATTTAGGAAAAGATTTTTTGAGAAAACTCCCTGAGGAAGCTTTCCACAGTTAGGAAGAAACAATGGTGGGCTAAGCAACAGCAAGCGATGAAGGTTTGATGAGGTTTTTTTTTTTACTTTCAAGTAATGTAATTATTTCAAAGAAGATAAAACAGGTTTTACGCTACCATTACTGAAAACGTAGACAAAAACATAATTGCTAATGCTGAAGCTGAAGTAGTTACAACAGCTAATGTTATCTAGCATTACAGTCACGGTGGGAGAGAGCAGCGGCGGCGTCTCTGGGAGTCAACAGGCCGCCGCCTCTGCCCATGTTGGAACCACTGGGTTCACAGCAGCTGGGGCTGAGGATGCTCTCAAGCCTTCAGATGTAAACCATGAAGCCATTTTATCATGATGTCAGTTATGCTAATAACATAGTTTGGTTTTATTTCTGATGAGCTAAATGCTATGGATGAGTCTGTGTATCATAACCAGGATCATGTTTATGTCATTACACTAATACAAATCTAAATTAAACTTAATAATTTTAGAAAACAGTCAGACATACAGCATGTGAAAAACTAGACCGAATTTTTGACTGTACTTTCATTTTTTATGACAATATACATTCATTTTATGCAAATTGTCTTCTAAACATTCATGTGCAAGTGGGTGGCCATGTATCCCAGGCACCCCCCACCGCCACCACCACCACATTCCCGCGTGCATGCGTACAGATGTATGTATCTGTATAGGGAAGCCTTGTTGGGAGTGCCACCCAGATATTAACACTGTAAACAGTGCTTGTCTCCTTCCCTGTCCAGGCCTTTTGTTCCATCTGCACCACCATTGGTCAGGGCTTAAATGGCAAACACTCGGGGGCTGCTAGCTTGCCTGACACGGTTTTGTTTTTGGCCTTTTGAGGGGCAATGGAGAGCTTCTGTTTCTATGCCCAGGCACAATGTCGCTCAAAAGCAGCATGGCTGAAAAGAGAGGCCCCGACAAAGACAGTCGATTAGTGGAGGCACTGCATGCATCTGTATACATAGGCTTACATAGGCATATACGCACACACTGACACATACATACACACCATTGATGTCTGGGCAAAGGTCAGGACAGACAGCCTTGCCAAAGACACTTGTGTAGATGGAACGTGCGCAAATGGTTATGCCCGTGCACCGGCACACAAACATGCAGCCTATAAAACCGAATCCAGGGCAAACAGCACACTCACCACACTACTTCACTATGCTACACTCAATCCTCACTCACATAAGCACACAACCCTCCATTTAAGGTCTGGCACACACGCATGTGCACATGCTCAT